TGGGCATAGTAGTTGTTTCCACAGTGCTGGGCATAGTAGTTGTTTCCACAGTGCTGGGCATAGTAGTTGTTTCCACAGTGGTGGGCATAGTAGTTGTTTCCACAGTGCTGGGCATAGTAGTTGTTTCTAAAGTGGTGGGCATAGTTTTAGTCTCCACAGTAGTTGACATAGCTCCTGTTTCTACGGTGGTGAGCTGGTTAGTGGTGGAAGACTCGGTAGTTGTTTCCGCAGTGGTGGACATTATAGTTGTCTCTACAGTAGTTGATTCGGTGGATTTTTCAACAGAGCTGGGCATGGTTTCCGCAGTAGGTGACTCAGTGGCTATTCTCTCAGAGGTGGGCATAGTTTTAGTTTCTACGGAAGTAGGAATTGTAGTAGTTTCCATAATGGTTGAATCAGCAGTAGTGACTACATTGGATGACGCAGTAGTCGTTTCCACAGTGGATGACACAATAGTTTTTTCCACAGTGGTAGGCATAGCAGATGTTTCCACAGTAGATGACTCAGAAGTAATTTTTACAATGGATGACGCAGTTGTTTCCACAGTGGATGACGCAGTACTATCCACAGTCGAAGACTCAGTAGTAGTTTCCACGGTGGATGAGGCAGTAATATCCACAGTGGATGACTCAGTAGTTTCCAAAGTGGATGACCCATTAGTAGTTTCCACAGTGGATGACGCAGTAATGTCCACAGTGGATGACTCACCAGTAGTGTCCACAGTGGATGACGCAGCAGTGTCCACAGTCGATGACTCAGTGGTAGTTTCCATTGTGGATGACTCATTATTGTCCACAATGGATGACGCAGTTCTTTCCACCGTGGATGACTCAGAAGTAGTGTCCACAGTGGATGACTCAGTAGTAGTTTCCATCGTGGATGACTCAGTTGTGTCCACAGTGGATGACGCAGTTGTTTTCACAATGAATGACACAGTAGTTTCCACAGTGGATGACACATTAGTATCCACAGTGGATGACTCAGTAGTAGTTTCCTTAGTGGATGACTCAGTAGTAGTTTCCACTGTGGATGACTCGGTAATAGTTCCCACAGCGGAAGACTCAGTAATGTCCATAGTAGATGACGCAGTTGTTTCCACAGTGGATGACGCAGTAATGTTCACAATCGATGACTCAGTAGTATTTTCCTTAGTGGATGACTCAGTAGTACTTTCCACAGTGGATGACGCAGCAGTGTCCACAGTCGATGATTCAGTGGTAGTTTCCATCGTGGATGACTCATTATTGTCCACAGTGGATGACTCAGTAGTAGTTTCCACTGTGGATGACTCAGTTGTGTCCACAGTGGATGACGCAGTTGTTTCCACACTGGATGACACAGTAGTTTCCACAGTGGATGACACATTAGTATCCACAGTGGATGATTCAGTAGTA